TTATTAAGCACTGTATGACTGGCGGATAGTTACTTCTTGTAGCACTGATTAGCCACAAAGTTGAAGTTAAATCACACACGATGGTTCTTTGTTGGTCACTATAAGTTTAGGACCACCGACTGCGCCCATAACGAGTTCGCGGTTGCAAGTTTTGAAAAAAATATAAGTTTTTATTTCAAGATAATAATACAACTTTGAATCGGAGCCAATTCACGTCTTAATGGTATGGTGGATGAATTAGAACTAAATCTGGAGTGTGAGTTGAACGCTTAGCAAACCCTTGGTCGACTTTGTTTATATGAACTTGAAGGCTCTCCTCTTTATTCAAATGGGTTGCGCTCTTTAAGAGAGTTGCGCATGGAAAATTACCAGGATTTGTGCTGCGTAAGCTATTTGGTTGCTTAGTGGGAATAACGAATTTCGGCATCGGCGGATGTTTATGTCTATGAATCAATTGTTTATGTTAACGCGGCCGAAATTGTTATTGTCGCCAAGAGCTTGGGATCTGACTTATGTGTTGGGGCAAATGGATTGGGTGGGTGTGATCAAGTGGTACATATGTACTGTGTGTGTGTGTGACAAAGTGTTATACTATGGTACATATGCTACTGTACATATGTATTATTAAAATTTGGGAAAAATAATAGCAAACCATGAGCTATTTGTCAGCTTTAAGCAAACGGATTAAGAGGAACTTAAAGAAGAAACAATCAATTTGGCGCCCCTTTTTATCCACCCAAAATTGCGAAGTTTTTAAAAATATCAAATTAGAATATAACAAAACCATTCAACAAAATAATATTTGCATTTCAAATACTGAAAATTGGTCCCTTACATATTTTTACATTTACATTTAGTATACATATTTTTTTTACTTGTATACTAGTTATTTGTACTAATAAATATACTAAATAGTTAAAAACTTCTTATGCAACCTGTTTATTGCAAAATTAAATTCTTGAGGCAGGACCAGCGCACCTAAGAATCCCTAACTACAAATATATTTTCCACGTCGCGAACTGAATACTCTAACGACATATTTTCTAGTATAAAGTAATCTTAGAAGGATTACCCAGTTAATATGGCCATTATAAATCCCGCTCATAACCGCAACCTACATACTGGTCCTCAGGCTTTTAGCATAATTCGATCCCAATATTGGCCTATTTGAGGAATAATCGTAAACAGGACAGTAAACAAGTGCGTCAGGTGTTTTCTAACGGAACTTAATCACTTAATTGAGCACATATTGGCGGATCTACCAAAGGACCGTCTCGATGGGTCTCATGCGATTGAATTCACAGGTACCGACTTCTGTGGACCATTTTTCTGCAAGCCTGAAGCGCGCAAAAGGGCTCCTGTATAATTATACATGTGTGTTTTCATTTGCTTTGCAACCTGGGCGATACATTTGGAGACGCCTATTCCCCATCGACGACCTTATTAAAGCAGTGTTGGATTTTTGCCTGGCGGAGGACATCGAGAAGACAGCAAAGAAAATCCGTGCTGTGGATTCTTCAATGCCCTTGATGAGCTGAGAACCTTTTTTTCCCACTGTAGTATGCACATATAGCGATGTAACACTGTATGCACATATAGCGATGCACCACTGTAATAACAACAAACACATTGTTGCACTCTGTTGCAAAGTGTATAAAAACAATCCAGCCCAAGTGCACGCGTAACACGAGCGTCCACTTGAAAGCCAACATGCATAATTGCAGAGTCAGCATTCCCACGCTGGCCAAACGCTGATCTCCGCATATGTGTGCCTACAACACTCCCCCTCCTCAAGCGCCGTCGCTCGGCGACAATTCATATATATGCATATAAGCGTCGCATATAAGAGCGCTGCTCCTCGAATTAGGCTAAGAAACCTTTGTATGGAGAACTCCAAAAACATTGACAAATTTACTTTGAACGGATCGGGACCTTCCCTGCTCCATAAATAAAGAAACTGAACAGACTAAATACTGCCTTTTCATCAAATATAAAACAACATATTATAATAACATGTCGGCAAATATCTCCCTTCCGCTTTTTTGCTCTTTATTCAATGCTTTATAAAAAGTGTTAGTGATCGGATTTAGTTCAAATATGCGCCGTTTTCATCTAGACGGCAACTTCATAATACCTCCCTCGAAGAAGCCCCCCTCCTTATTTGCGAAGAACTCGGACAGCCACTTTTCACAAGCCTCTTTTGAGTTCAACTTTACACCACCAAGGGCATTCGCCATGGACAGGAACAGGTGGTAATCACTTGGCGCTATGTCCGGGCTATATGGTGGATGCGATAAAACCTCCCATCCGAGCTCCCTTAGCTTCTGACGAGTCATCAACGAAGTGTGTGGCCTGGCGTTGTCCTGGTGGAACACTACACCCTTCCTCTTGGCCAATTCTGGACGCTTCTGGTCGATCGCCTGCTTCAAGCGGTCCAGTTGTTCGGTCCAGTAGATGGTAGAATTAAGCGCCTGGCCATATGGGAGCAGCTCATAGTAGATGATTCCCTTCCAATCCCACCTAACACACAGCAAAACCTTCCTGGCCGTCAATCCCGGCTTGGCCACTGTTTGGGACGATTCACCGGCCTTCGACCACGACCGTTTTCGCTTGATATTGTCGTCCGCTTCAAGAATGGGTTTGAGTTCGTTCCGTTTCAGCAGCATATCGCAGGCGTTGATGCGGTCCAGAAGGTTTTTTTGCGTAAAATCATGCGGCACCCAAACATCAAGCTTTTTTTTGTATCCAGCCTTCTGCAGATGGTTTAAAATGGTTTGGTGACTAACTCCCATCTCCTGGGCGATGTCACGAGATGCCACATGCCGGTCTAACTCGATGTATTCCATGATTTGATCGGTATTTGTCGTCACAGGTCTTAAGCCGGCTGGCTTATCCATGGTATCGTTTTCACCGGCTCTGAATCGTCGAAACCATTCCTCCGCGGTTCGAAGTGATAGAGTACCATCCCCCAAAACACCATTAATCTCACGGAACGTTTCTCTAGCGGATTTGCCTTTAACGAAGGAAAACTTTAAAATAGCGCGAATTTCGGCGTTAGTGAACTCCATGTTTACACGTCTATAACTGTAGAACGCAATATCCAATCATGCATAGCGTCGTTTTGTAGGTTATGTCAAGACCTTTCAAATTATGTATAGCCAGATACGAGCTTTGTACATAACCGCGAAATTCAAAAGACAAAAAGGCGGAAGGGAGATATTTGCCAAACTAATACATGGCGATCCTGCGATATATGGCGATATAATACACCACATATCAGCTGTATTTTATTCTCGACCTTTAGTATCAATTTCAGAAAGCCCTGCCGATCTAGATGTTTTAACTCCAAATCATTTTTTTTATTGGTGTCTTCATCGCTTATCGAGCCTGATGAGACAAATTTAAACATCAATCGATAGCTGGCAGCGCATCGCTCACCTGCAGCAGACTTTCTGGTCCCGATGGAAGAAAGAATGGAAGATGGAAGAGATAGAGTCGCCAGAGTTTCTGTACTGAGGACAGCAATAGGATTGACGAAGTGGGCAGTGAATAGCTGTGCCTACTACCCCTTAAGGATGCTGTTGAAAGCCGCGCTTCCAACAGGGGGAGTATGTCGGCTCTCGAAGCCGCCATCAGTTGCTAAATGTATTTCTTCGGTTGGTTATGGCCAACACAATTAGTCTCTACGCTACCTTAGCTTTCGTTATACATGCAGAGCAGTTGCGTGAGCAGCTAAGCTCCTCCTCTCGCGCCCACCCTGCACCTTTGTCCTTGCGTTTTGCAGTTCGCTCTGAAATTAAGTCACCTATGCATTCGCGCATCGGTGCCAAACCTCGCTAAAATAAATAAACAAAACATCTTTTTATTTTGCGAAAATAGGTTATAAAAAAGTTTATTAGCTCAACATACGGTAAATAGTTCAAATACCAGGAAATAACATACCAGGAAAGAACAAGCCGTTACTTAGAGGCCCGAAATAGGTGTTCAGCTTGCGGGCATACAAGAACCTGTTTTTTATTTGGTCTTGGTATCACCGTCTTTTGGTTGTTCTCCTTAATGACCCCCAACACCAGCATATTGTCCACCTCGCCCCGATTCCCTTCTGTTTCGCCAGAAACATCGGATACGGACGGTCCTTGAACACTCAAGCCCCTTCCAGAAGCTTGATGAAATGGTTATCTAGGCTGGTAGTACCAAACCCATGGTTCTAGAAGGTAAAAAACACCGTTTCCTCGTCATCATTCCCCTGGTGGGCTTAGTGCTCCATCTGCCTAGTGTGGATCTCATCGCCGAAACCAAACTAAACGCATAATGGAAGTCGACTTCAAGGAATGCCAAATTAATATAAGCATGCATTGAATTTTTATCCCTTATATCCCTTAACTTCTGGTGTTCCAGCGGGCTTTTTAACCAGAAGAAAAAATATTATTTCCTACATCGATCTGTTTTGCAAATTTATATATGAACCAGAGATATTATTTTTATATGCGCACATAAAATAATGGCTTAAAAAGCGTTAGCTGAGACTCAGTGGATTATAACTTATCGGCTAAAAAAATTGATTTTGCTGAACATACCTATCGACGTCTCCGAACACTACAACACCAACGATCTCTGACATGAAATAAGCAAACAATGGAATAAATAAAGAAGGGACGACGAAAAATTAACGTTCAGGTTCTTATAGATTAAATACTTGGAGGGTGACCTATTCCTGAGAAGCATCAAGGACGTGCGAAATCGTGAGTATGAGCTGTATTTTTTGAACTATGGTAGTACGAAGAGGACAATTCGGTACTTGCGGTTCCGACCCGGGTCAACTCACAATTATCGAGGGAGGAATTGGTATACAAGAAATAAGAAGTTTACTGTGAATGCACTATTGTCCGTATAATATTTAAATTTCCGTTTTAATATTTATATGCAAAGAAGTAACAATTTTATTAAATACCAAGTTAGTGAACAACCAATTCTATCTTTACAAAGTTAACAACAATTGGAGCTCTGTACAAAAATCGGTTTTGGATACGAAGTAACGTCATAACAAGATAAAATATACCTAGTTTTATTAAAATGTAATATTTAAATTTCGTATTTTCTGCTTAAAAATCTTGCTCTTTTTTAGATATGCATTCCATGGTTAATGGCGTTTAAAATCAGCGTTTAAATCAGGTGCACAGGATAATAAAAACATAAATCAAATATGAACACAATCCTGCTGTACCATTACTACCATAGTACATGATTACTACCATGGACAGACATATTAAATTTCAATATGATTTCTTAATTTGTTGATATATTTTTTTTAGGGGTGGAAACAGTTTTTGAATTTTTTAACCCGAATCAGAGCAATAAAAACGTCAATAAAAGTTCATGTTACTTTTTACACCCATTTAAAAATATTTCTGTTACTTTGAAAATCTGACGTACATCTCAAAAAAAGATACACGTAAAATACCTAATGATCAAATTTTTTGATTGCTAACATCCGTTCAATATATCGATAATATTAATATAAATCAACATATGTTACCATATTAAATGCATATGTTAAAAAGTTGTTATTAATATTATTATATCACAAATATCACGATAACTAAGTTTGCCGATGGGTTTGAATAAGTCTATATGCACATAAAATGCTGTAGTCTTGGTTTTTCATCATTTTATACATAGTTACCGAAGGATGTCACTGTAGCTAAATTTCACGTGTCTAAGGTATTGGAAACCATAAACAGGTTCACTTCCCATTGAATTGCGAATAGCTCCATCAAGGGTCAGTCTCAGGATTGCAAAATTCTTTTTATGGGTCGTTTAAAATAACTACAAAATCCAAAATATCTTAAATTTGTTTGTAAGAATGGTGGTTACTACTGAAGCATAAGAGCATTAAGGTTACGCTGCAGTATTGTGTCCTTTACAGAGTTAAAGACAACATTAATATTACGTGTATCTATGGCTGTGGTAAAGTGATGGTAGATCCTACTTATGCTGCTACTGCGACGAACACTCATAAACATTTGTAGTATGAAGTTCTGAACATCTAAAACTGAGTGTGGATTTCCGTTGAAGTGCGGATAGTACCAGCGAATGTCAGTCTCAGGATTACGAACTTTTTGTTCAAGTAAGTCTGTTTTGTTCAGAAATAAAATAATTGATATTCCTTTAAATGTAGCGTTGTTGACAATTGTATCAAATATATTCTTTGACTCTTCAAGGCGATTGGTTTTTCTGCAACGATAATTGTTAATTATCAATCGTTAATTTATAATTGTTTACCTGTCTTCCGCAAGAACTTGATCGAACTCCGAACTAGATACGAGAAATATAATAGACGTTACGGAGCTATCAAAACATCTAGTCCATTTTTGACGTTGAGTTCGCTGTCCACCAACATCGACGAACACAAATGGAATGTTCTGAAAATATCTGAGTCTTTAAAGGTATTATGTTTTTATTTAATTCACACACCTGAACTTTCACACAAAACTCATAAACCCCTTTAGTTGCCTTCCGGCAATGTAATATGTCTTTATGCGTTGGCACATAATCTGGTGTAGCTAGCCGTTCGATCTCGTCTAGGAAATAGCTAACAGAATCGCTCTAAAAATATAATTGTAAAAATGTAAACCATCTGCGATGCAATTAAGCTTACAATTTGAAATTCGCGTCTTCTTTCAAAAGCTCTTCTAATGCCGCGATCTTGCCACAGTCGGCTTATTTGTGGTGCATACTCCATAAACTTGGGTAAGTCTAGAGAATTACATTCCATTAATTTGGCATCATAAGCATCCTGTTCTCTGCCGTCACTTCCCCACGCAATGTTTAGCTTTTCGCGAGCGTCCAATAAAACTTGCATACCTTAAAGGTAAGTTTTATAAGACAAAATCTCCTTTGGTATATATAATTAACTACGTACCTCTTATAACGTTTTGGTATATGACACTTTGGTATTCCAGCAGCAGTTCATAGTCAAAGTGAACCCCATGAATGATTCGCATTTGTTTAAGAAAAGTTGACTTTCCAGATTCCCCAGCACCTAAAAGCAGCAGTTTGACCTAGAACCGAATATTGCCATGTCAGTATACCGATTTTTATGTTGTATGGGAGCGTTGATAATATAACATCATTTAGCAAGGCTTGCAACTTAAAAATATTAAAACTAATTAAATTTTTAATAATACCCTGATGAAATTAAAAATTCTAGGCTATATAATTTCTTAATTGAATGTGTTGTTTTAGGTACTTCTTATAATATAGTTGTTTAATATAAAATTGTATATGGAATCTTTTGGCAGCTTACTTGATTTTTATTTTGAAATTATTTAAAATTCGAAATATAATATCTAAGTTGTCAATATCTAACCCTTTCATTAATCTTCGACTATCTCTCATTGCGAGCGGAGGTCTCTTATCTTCCAACAGCGGTTATCGAACGGTCTCTGTTCTTATCTGATCCACGTGGTCCTTAATATTCATACCACTGCTTCTACAGTTTTTACATTCATTTTTCAAAAACACTGCGCAAAAAATACACAAAGTAATAAAAATGCAGAAGCCCCAACATAGCCCCTGGTCCTCCTACCCTGTGCGACAGCCAGTATGCATCGCATGCCATCCGCGTCCCATCAAAAAAAGGAAGACAACCCCAAAAACTGGACATTGCATTCCCTGACCTTTCACTTACCTCAGTCGACAATCCTAAGTATATCATTATAACCTCCACCAACGGAAATTTACTAATGCTAGTGAAAACCCAAACCGATGCCGATAAGTTCATAACCTCCATGCTTCATAAAGCTCCATGAGGACCTTAATTTTGTAAAAGGCACTGTTTACGCCCCGTATCTCTGCGACATCCCCGAAAAAGAAATTGTCAATGAACTTAAATAACTAAAAGTGACGGGGACGTGTACAAATTTATGAAGTCCAAACCGAGTGGAGTTATCCTATCCCGCTCTCATTCCCTACGCCTTCCCCTTCCACCATTTCCCTGTCCCCTATCCATACTAGCCCTTATCAAACTAACCAAACTGCCTTACCTGACCTAAACAAATATAAATTCGGGTTATATTTCGACTTGGACTATTACTAAAAATTTATGCTGAATAAGAAACAAACAGCCCAACAACATCTTCTATTCAATATAAATCAATATCGCATACAATTAATTTAAATACCCAAGAACCGAACAACCCAATTCTCTACCCACTTATGTCCAGTACACTAGTTAAAAGAAATAAGAAGGGTTATTTTAATAATTACCAAGAGCTTCAACTCTTGATTAACGATACGAGCACGGGTATTATTTGTCTGTCGGAAGCTCATCTAAATGCTAACCTATCTAATATAGCTTCCCCTAAGCAATTTACTTCCATAATTGTATCTCTAATACCAATGTCATGCAAGGTGTCAGCATTCTCGTCCGTAAAGATATTTCACACAGACCCATAACAATAAAAGGCAGTACATGCTTTTTAGGTATTGAAATCCTAATACTACCCAATGTCTGTATTTTTAATACATACATACCTCCCCCTCAGTTTTTAGCAGCCAACTACCTTATCTTACTACCAAGCCAATCGTATATGTTGTTCTCAATTGGGATCTGTACCGGAATAAATGTTAAGTTAGCTTTAATTTTCCTGAAACCAACTATTTAACTATTTCCAACCAATTTGTTCGCCGCCAAAAAAATAAAAGGTATTAAAGCGGCAGTTATTGTAGCAATCCCGCAAGCCAAGCCATCTCTACGTTTACGAAACGTTGCTTGGTGGAGCCAAACACTCCAAGATCTTAGGCAACAAAAGCAATCCCTTTGGCATGCATACAAACAAACTCGGAGCACCGCTCCCTGATCGCCTACAGAAAATCCAATGCTCTATTCAAGTACATATCAAAAATAGGAATCCTTTAAAAAATTTACAATGAATATAAGTCCCCTAGCATCTACTACTAGCGTCGGACTACTCTAAGGACACTTACTCCCACCAATACAAGACCCGTAAAGAAGAAATTCTGTCTCAGGAATACAATCCTACTAAACTGTCCGCTGCAGCTGTAGATTTCGACTCTAATTTCGTTCTTGGTGAGCTTGAATTGCCCTCAGTATGCGAAAGCTATACTGAGTAAGCTGAACTATCCTATACGAAAGCAAACATAAACTCATAACCTCCCACCAAACAGGCTTTAAACAACAGCATAGCACTCTTGATTCCGTTTTGCATCTCCACTATCATGTATCTGATGCACTTTCCACCGAAAATCATGCTACCATACTGGCAAATGATTTTGAAATGGCATTCGATAGCATAGGGGTGCATACAGTATTGAATCAACTTTCCTGGTGGGTGGTAGGTCTCAAGACCTTCAACTTGGCGAACGCTTAAATGATCAACCGTTCAATCTGAGTAAGAGTAAACAACACTCTATCTAAATTCAATACTCTCCACAATGGCATCCCCCAAGGATCGCCCCTCTCTGTGGTGTTGTTCATGATTGCCTTAATAACAATATTCTAAGGTATAAACAAATTAAACTTTCAATATATGCAGGCGATGCCATAATTTTTAGCAAGTGTATAAATACTACTACACTAAATAATAAGTTCAAAGAAATGCTTAACGAAATACAAATTTGGGGGAGCTGTAAATAAATGTAAAATTATTCTTTTTTGTAAAAAACCACGCTGTACATACCCTTCTTTATCTTACAATAACGTAGATATAGAACGCGTTTCTTTCCTTAAAATTCTCGGCCTGATATTCTAAAAGCGACACGCATTTAAACAACATTGTAATGAACTTCGGATACATCTCAACGTTATAAAATTCTAAACATCTTAGCGCTCACTCATCCACCCCACAACACTTATACCAGAGACAAGAGCTTTGAAGCTGTCCAAAATTCGCCTGATCTATCACCGTGTGATTTTTTTTATTTTCAAAACTGAAAACCAAGATGAAGGGAGCATTTTATGATGATATCCAAGCCATTCAAGCAGTCGTAACCGAGGTACTGAAGAACATTTCTATAAATGACATAAAAAAATCTATGCATGCGTTGATCGTTCCAAACGTTGTGTTGAGTCAAATGGAACCTATCAATAATAACTTTCAAATATAATATAATGTGTAATTTATTTTATATCCAAAAAGTTCGGTTATTTCTGGGATACACCGTGTACATAGCTCAAAGAAGCTGGGTTCGGAAAAATGGAATTTTTGAAATTTGAAAGGTGGAATCGTTTGCCCATGTTTGCCCACCAATTAGTTTTTTTTGCCCACGTCCAGTTTTGAAGATATGAAATTTCGAAAATCATAAAGTTGACTTTTTGAACTTTTTTTTTTAAATCGCAATAACTTTGTTTGCCCACCCTTTAGAATTTTGAAAAAACTTTTAGTTTAGAAAATATAAGGCCTTAAAGAATTATAAATTTTCCATACCTCAAAACTAATTATTTTCAATCAAAATCGTTTGCCCACCCTTTAAAAATTGTTTTTTTCGTTTGCCCACCATTACGCATATTGTTATTCTAATGTCTTCAATTTCAATTTTCAGCTCAACTAAATAGGTTTGACATCTTAAACTATTAAAAAAAAAGTAATATTAAATAATAATTAAAATAAAAATATTTTCGTTTGCCACCTGGCGCCACAACTTACGGAAAGTGCAAACATGGGCAAACGATAGACAAACGATTGCACCTTTCAAATTTCAAAAATACCATTTTTCCGAACCCAGCTTCTTTGAGCTCGTGTACATTGGTTTTGCCACTGTTTTGGTGGCGGCAATAAAAGTAGAATTTCCTTGTTTGTGTAAGTAAAAACAGTAAGCAAAAAAGTGAGTATGTGTTAAAAATTGATGCCGTGACTATTATTTTTTTAACGAAGTTATTTTATTATTCGTTAGTAATATTCATCATATAGCCGAGCAAAATTAGGAAAATTCTAGTTTCCTTTATTTTGCACTACTTAGCACAATTACTAATCGTATTATTGTGCTTTACTAAACCAGAAAATCTTTTTTTTTTATTATAAATGCGGATATATTATTAATATTTGGAAAAATAGTAGCAAACTAGTTGCTCTATGTATTTGTCAACTTTAAGCAAACGGATTAAGACGAAATAAAAGAAGAAAGAAAACATTTTAAAAATATCAAATTAGAAGATAACAAAAACATTCAACTAAATAAAATTTGCATTTTAATTAGCGGAAATTTTGTCATTTACATGATAATATAAGTGTTCATTTTTTTTTACCTCCATACTAGTTATCTGTACTAATAAGTATAGTTTAAAAATATGCAACCTGTTTATTGCAGAATTGAATTCTTAAGGCAGGACCAGCGCACACCTAAGAATAACTCAATTCCACGTCGCAAACTGAATACTCTAATGACAAATTTTCTGGTACATATAACGTAATTTATGAAATTAATAAGGTATTAATATTAATAGGTATTCACCTATTCATTTTACTTTGATGTATTTAAATAATTATCATGTTAAGGCAATGCAAAATTAAAGTTTTTACATTACAAATAATAAAGATTGAAAGTCCATAAACTAAAGAAGTGGGGCATATTTTGTCAAATTTACAATACATGAGCATACGTGTGGACACATGCAGTGATCGACTGTGTACAAGAGGAATCTAGGGTGCTCTCTCTCTGGCTTTTGAACAGAAATTCGAGGGAGCCTGGATCCAGCTCTAGAGCCAGCACAAAAAAATCGTGTGCCAAAAAATCGTATGGCATTACGCATATTGTTATTCTAATGTCTTAAATTTTACATTGCCGTTCAACTGAATTTTTGGCTCAACTAAATAGGTTTGACATCTTAAACTATTAAAAAAAAGTAATATTAAATAATAATTTTAAACAGTTCATTTTAAATAATAAAGGTCGTTGCTAGGGCGTAGTTTTATATTTCTATATATTATTTCAAATATACGGCATGGTAAGGATTCATAATATTTTTTAATTTCACTTAGTGAAATTGTTGACTAGGCTTTTTTTTATTGCTTCAACTAGAGTTCCAGGGTCACTAAATTGTCTTCGTAAACTCTTCTTGAAAAGAGTCCGCAAATGTTTTCGATAATGTTGTTGTCAGGGAAGTAAGGCTGCCACTCGAGCATTTTGACATTCTGATCCTTTATCTACTGTTTTACAACCCGATCGTTATGGATGGGAGAGTTGTTATGTTGAAATATGACCATATATCTCAGAAATCCGGGGAAAGCCTTTTACAGTACAGTGTTCTGCGCATTCGCGTTAATCTAGAAGGTGACAAACTGGAGCTCGCATCTTCCATAAAACGATTCGGCTCCCCACACCATAACTCCACCAGCATAACTGTAATGTAGACTTAAGAAAAGTTATTTCTTTCTCATCTTGTGGAAATAGTAATTTTAATCATCTGGTCCATCAAGGCTGAACTTCTTTTCGTCGGAGAGGACCACTGTCTTCCACTCCGTGTTCCACGTCTTGTGTTCTCGGTTAAATAGTTAATTAAGGGGTGTTTTTTATACCCGTTACTCGTAGAGTAAAAGTATATATATTCTTGATCAGGATCAATAGCCGAGGCGAACTTGCCATGGCCGTCTGTCCGTATGAACGTTAAGCTCTTCAAACTTATTCAGTTGAGAGGCACTGTAACTGTTATAAAGACAAAACAACATTTGTCAACATTTTTGTATCCTAAAATCATTTCTTGTATTAAACAGATCGTTGTAGGTAACATTTGAAAAAACGAGTTTAGCTAAACAAAAGATAAAGTTTAGCTAAACACAGCTAAACGCAGCTAGTAGGAAGCTACGCCGATAACTTCTTAAACCGTGACGCCATAGACTTGCGATTTCTTTGATTCCTAAAGGTTGTTCTTTTTAAAATATCTAATTTAAAATAAAGCGCTCTTTAGCTCAACCATTTCTCGGATCATGGACTTGCGTTGCGAACTGTCTTCTTACAACTTCAGTTTCTGACTGACTCGAATTTCACAAGTATGCTAGCACAATACATAGAGGCATGCATCTTCTTGACGCCACTTAGTACGCACATGATTGCAATTATTGCTTTATCCATTCTGTTTCACACTATATTTGTCACGCTCTAATTTTCGGACCGAGATTACGCAGAACATTAATGTTCAACATTAATAAGGAGACTATATTATGCTTAATCTGAAAGGAGTCCTTGTTCTTGTAATTATTAAGTTAGATTAAACGTAAATTTTTTTTTTTTTGTCAATTGTTAATTGTTAAAACTACTGTCAGAGGATATTTCTTTAACAGTTCCGCTGGCAACTCAACACTGTGTAGAAGTCCAATGCTCTTTTCTAGTTGGAATCCACCAACCCATCTATGACGCCTCTTTCAGCACCTTCGTTCGCATTGGAATCCACCAATGTATTTCTAGCGTCTCTTTCAACATCGCCACTTTCATCATACATATCTCGTTCTCTGGAAATCTCTTATTCCGACATACAGACCCATGCGTGTACTTATTGGTTCGTTTATTTGCTAAGGATTTCAAAAACTAATTGATCTCCTTCTAGTACCTGTCACCAAAACTTGACCCTTATTCTTTTGATCCAACTTTGACAACTCTTTCTTTTTCATGTAAAGCATTCCTTGTCATATTTTCATCTACTTTATTTTTTTTTACTATAGGTAACATTAAAAGGTCTTTCTTTTTTTACAATCTAAAGGGCCGAAATTTGGTTATGCGATTAATGGTACAATTAATAGCTTTTTGTATTTCGCCTAAAGCGTCTGCCAAGATCTCTGACAACTTTCAACAGGTTCTTAGCATGCGTAAGAAACTCATAACGCGTTTTACATGCCCACGTGCAGGCGCGACGTGCGCCTGTTGCCATTGAGTGTAATTCAAATTTTTGCATAGAACAAAAATCGCTAAAATTCGATTCAGTGAAAAATCTACCCTTATCTGCAGGAACAAAAAAATAATATCGATATACATATATCGTATGTCATATGTCTACCTTGGGTATGGGGTGAAGCTCAATTGGGAACTTTCTAGACGGAGGCTTGGTCAGTTTGCAAGTTACACGTTTCCCCAATTAATAACAACAAACCCTTGTTTTCCAGTCAACTTTAGATGAGCGTACCCAAAAGTTTACAGAGCAAAAGAGCTCTAAATAAATAAATTGTATACTTCGAAACATATAATAAATATATAAATAAAACATATTTGGAAATTCACTGCACGTCACTCGTAGAGTAAAAGGGTATACAGGACTTGATAAAGTGTGGAATAGTTAAGTTGAACCCTGTCCTAACCTATAAAATCGTTACCTTAATCTATCTGTCAATCTGTACGTGTGAACACTGGGATTTCGGGAACTTTAAAGCCCACACATTTGAAAATTGTTGTATTTTTTTTTTAGTTTATTATTTGTCTTATCAATTTCTTTCGGAATAACTACAAAAATGCTATACACGATCCTTCTAAGTCCCACAAAGAGACCAAAAAGTGCTACGCACATACTTTTAAAAAATATTTAGATTTTTTTTATTTTATTATTTTTCTTACCAATTTCTATCGATATTCCTAAGAATTGTTGAAATTTTTTGTTCGCTCTTCCACTATCTGAGTAACGGGTATCTGTTATAATCAATTTTGATTAATAGTGAATTATTTTTCTTCGTATGTACATTTTTTCGATTAGACGCACATATAGGAACAGTTAAGGAAGAGGAAAAAATATACAAATATATAAAAAAAATATAAAAATATATAAAAAAAAATAAAAACAAATTTTGTGTTAAAAAAGTTAGTAATGATTGCTTTAAGAGCGCCAGACAGTCAGAATTAGAGATGAGAAAAAAATATAGTATAGTCAGAACATAATACTTTGTAATTTAAAACAATGATTTAATTTCTATTGAATCTACTTGGAACAGAGAAATTTTGTTGACTGACAAATAGAGCAAAATATTTCGTAAAATTTTTTTAACCCTAATAGCTTGTAGATCATGATTTCAAGGTTTTCGGCTAGAAATCAATATTTCCGCTTATTAAAACACAAAACTGTTGTTTCAGATAATATTTCGTCCAAGGTTAATAAAGGTGAAGTTGGTGAAATTTGAATGTGGTAATTCAATGTAATTCAGTGTAAGTAATTCAATGATCCGTACATATCTTAACCCTTATTGAATTCTAAGTTAAGTGCCCAAAAAGGAGTTAATTTAGATCGCATTCTGTTACTAAAAATCTATTACGCATGAACATGTTATTAAAAAAAACAAATATTCAAATGCTTATAAAAAGCAAAACTTTGTTTTGCAATCCAAGTTTATTTTAAAATATTGCCACGCCCACTCTAACGTCCGTAAGCGCTCATAACGGGTATGTCCGTCTGGCAAAAGAGTTTTAGTTACCGCAAAACAATGCGTGTCAAAAATATTAAAATTTCTTAAAGTTATTAAAAGTTATCTTAAAAAAGATTGAATAGTAATAAGCAAGCAGTGTCACGATGTCGTGTGCAATCTTTAAGCCAGTATTTTTGTTTAGCCATTTTATTTGTTTCTGCTGCATTATTTGGTGTTTGCAAAGAACCTTTTATTTTGCACCTCATTAACTGAGTATAGACTTCTTTTGCTTTTATGTAGAATAAGTTGCTAAATACGGTCCGATCCGCTGATTAAAATACATGTAACCATTCTAGAATTTCTAGCCAAAAAATTGTAAGTTCACTTTTGTCAGTGACTTTTTGAGACAGTTGCTTAAAACTTTGTATTGAAATTACATTCAAAACGCATTAAACTTGTTCAAACATATACGTACATATACCTAATTTTGCCGAATATCTCTCCTTCACTGCCTTAACTTTTAAATAAAACACCCACGGGAAGGATATAGAAACCTATATCTTAAGATCACCTCACCTGACGCCGAAATGCGTGTTTTTCTTTTTCCAGGAACTTATCAATCTCTTTGGACTTGTAACGCTGTTCCAGCTCCTCAGGTGTACTACGCAGCCTTACTAGATAAGTGATAATGTTTCCGCAACATCGAAAGCAAGCAAAGCGAGAGGTCTGAAGCCGACTGCCTTGAAGTCGCAGTCGCTCTGCTCCATTCGATATTAGACCGTCTGTAGACGTGGTCGCTGTTTCTGGCCCAGTTACCGCTCCCACCCGCGTGCGATGCTCTTCCATAAGATGAGTCAGAGTACCACTCAGCGTGTCACTATCTGTGCTGTTTTCGATGCCGTTCGTGATGACATTGTTTGGAATGGAAATTCGTCCATGAGTTAATTTGGTTATTGTAATGTCAGACATCGCTGGCAAGCCAACGCCTGATGCTCGCACTTTCTATGTACACACACGAACAACAATGCGTCGTACACTCGCCACACTAACAGCAGATGCTCATTGTACAGCTTTTTTTATAGCAAATTTATAAGCACTTTTTAAATTGAGCATATTGAAATCGTAGGTCTTTATTACTTTAAAAGGCGATGTTGCCATCTCAAAGAAAATGCCACAAAAATTAGCATTATTTTTCTACATGGCAACACAAATTCCGAATGTTAACGTTATTAGGTTATTACAATCTCAACCATTACACATTAGCGTTCCTTTGTGAATACGATTTTAAATACTTTTGCTGCAAGCAACAGCGGTGATATTAAATATATTCCTGTATATCGAATATATACATTTCGTCTCAACTGTGTTATATCCTGTCCTCACCGAGCACTTGCCGGTAGTGGTAGTGGTAGTGGATTTCAATAATATCATTTAATTCTTTTATAAATTAATATTACTCCAATCAGTAAAATTGGATCCAAATAAATATATTAAATCGGGTTTTCTAGGAATGCAATTTATACAGCCGTTGTTATACACCTAACTTAAATAAAATCCGAATGTTCTAAAGGTGTTACCACACAAGTATACATGGAAAGGAAATCTGAATTTAATTTTTTATTTTTCGCCTTTCTTAATTTATATAAAAACAATGTAACATTTTTGAGCTTAAAACAAATTTGTTTAACTAATAAAATGCTGGTAGGAAATTTAATTACATTTTAAACTTTATTTACTTATTGCCCTGCGAGAGACCATAGTCACGCAAACCACCAAGTACAATGGCAGAATTGGACAAGATTTGTATTCAGACAGTGAGCAGCCTGAATAAGATGAATATTAAAATAAGTGGCTTAAACAGAAACGCTTACCTTATATTATCGATACAGTTTTGTTGATTGCTTAAAATCGAATATTTTTTATTTTTATATCAGGTAGATGCGTATAAATTATAATGAAGACAGCTTGGATTTGGAGAAGCCTTAATAATATCATGGACAATGAAGTTGATTTTGCTTACAATGAGGATGACATTTTGCAGCATTTGGTTTTGTATTTAATTATGCTAGTGATTGTTAAAAACATTTTTTTTTTCTTCAAAATTTTACTACATCCCATTTATTTCTAATAAAAAATGTTACATATTTCATCATGTTTTTTGTATTGTTCCAATTTAAAAATGGTAGTATGATACGACTAATAAATGCCTAAAACAATAGACAAATTTAAGAACACAGCCAATCCCCACACTATTTAAAACTTTCACGAACAAACCTTCCATGTAATTGTATTAACATTAAATTGTTTGTTATATTTACATTTCTAAAAAAATAAAAGCAAAAATTGTCCGAATTTACATATACATTTTGACAACGCCTTCTCTAACGTTCACAAACATATAAATCCTAGTGGAGACATTGCGGACATTACATCTTATCAAAAAATATTGATTTATTTAACAACTAGATAACACGAACAAATATCCGATTAACTATAACTATATATCCGATTGCTATAAAAGCTCTTAATAATTAAAGATCTTAAAATGTAAGCAATAAATTGTACTTCCGTGTTGTGGAATGGAGATCTGAAGACATTTTATACAAGAATCATAATAAATAAGCATACTTTGTTGATTTCTTGATTAAGTAGGTAGAGGCTTCTTTTTCTGATTTCGCTAGCTACTAAATAGTTTTAGTTTATTTGAATATTTTTTCATCAACAATTATTTTCTCATTTTCTCTGTATTTTTATCAAAATGTGTATTTTATTTTTGTCATCGGATGTGGGATTTCATCAAATTCTTCGTTTGTACCTGTTTTGATTTTCAATGGATTTTGGATGGAATATCCAATGTATCCGATGTAATCCGTCATATGTAAATTCATTCAAATCATTATTTTGGATATTATTTTCGGATAAATTGCCTTTTTTTTTGTTCCAATTTATCTCTATCGTTGGGCCTAGGGTTTCAAATAAGTATTTATAAGACGATCCAATATTAAGCACCCCAAATCTTTCTCTATAGTCTTTTCATAAAGTACTGTATCTGAATAATTTTAACCTTTCTTTTGCTTTCTTTAATAAGTTTTCGAATGCTATTTCGGCTTATATTAAATTAAATTATTAGCTTCATATAAAAAATGCTGATGCGCCCAAACTGAGTTCAGCGCTCCCACGCTAAGAACGGTCAGCAGCGGCAATCGGTCACCCAGTAGCCGGGGCACCGAACTGCGCTGCATAAATGCTGAGTCGGCTTGCCGCCCATGAGCTTATGGCGTGATGCAGTGGAGCTAGGGTAAATTCATATTTTCCATATTCTTTTTGTTTAGTTCTAAGCGAGACCTCTACTAATAAAGAGCTAATTACTCCGGCAACAGCAGTTAAATATCTTCTATCATTTTGAAAGCTGACTGTGTCTCTAGGCCAGCAGTTAAGAAGGGTAGGTCTCCTTCCAACATAATCTTCCTAATCTAACATAGGAACTACAGGCCAAAGTATAGTGACTGCAGTGGGGGACCTTCCCCTAATCCACTACTTATGAATTAATTGGCACCCAACTATAATTACGAACCTAGAGTATCTTAACAGGGTATTTAAGAAGAGAAACCATGTAAGTTTTATTAGTGAATTCAATTCGGCAGCCTTCAAGAATTGGCTTAGTTATCCCATTGCATACTTTTACAAAGAGTAAATTCTACAGCATACCCCAAGTTACTGTGAGCTATTGCTGCCCAAAGGAGCCGTTAACCAGGCTATAGCTCAGCAGGAAACTATTGCAACTAAATGCAATCATTTCAGACCCAACTAGATCAGGTTAGGCAACAAATGCAGAACTTACGTGTGGAAGTATTGAGAATTGAATTTAAGCCACACGTTAAATGTGACTTAAAACTCGACATAGTAAAGTCCATTCCCGAGTCTGAGGGGGATCAAGACGATGCGTGGCGTGGCGGCAGTCAGCCATGGACGCCTATGAAATGTTCAGGTCGTTCAATGAGAGCGAGGTGCACTACCAGGCTGTCACAATAATCAGGAATAAAATCAGGGGGTAGCGAGAGCGCTACTGGTGTCCCATAACACAGTACTAAATTTCGATGCCATCATTGCTCGACTAGACTGCACATACGCGGACAAAACGTCGCTGCGTGTCCTTAGGCAGGGTCTTGAAACGGTTAGGCAAGGCGAGCTTACCTTGATGCAATACTATGACGAGGTAGAAAAGCAACTAACACTAGTGACGAACAAAATCGTTATTACACATGAACCGGATAGCGCCGCTCTATTCAATAATGAGGTTAGAAATGATGCCCTCCACGCGTTCATTTCGGTGCTCAGGAAACCCTTGAGAGCCATAGTGTTGCCAGCTTAACCCAAAGATTTACCCTCAGCCTTGGCTTTGACTAGGGAATCCGAGGCGAGCATGGAGCGCACCGCCTTCGGGCAGCGAAAGAACCAAACCCGTTCGCAGGAAGGTCAAGGTAAAAGTAGCAGGGCCGAGGATGGCCATGGAAGAATCCCCCATTACTATAAAAATCAAAATGTGTTCCCGCAAGCGATGGCCCTAACCAGTCACCAGAACCCATGGAGTTAGGCTCCACTGTAACACAACACAGGTAAGCCACCGCCTTCGGAAGCGGTCAGTCTGCCAATGCTAGGGGCGAGAATATTCGAGGGCAGAAAAAACATGGATCTACACGCGCGACGGATCAAAGACGTCAAAGAGTGCAGAATACCATGCAACGCGTCGACGACGAAAGTGGCAGTGAATATGATAGAGCGGCAGCAGCGGCTGTCGCCGAAGTAGACGAAGAATCCGACGGTTGTGACCAAATAAATTTTTTAGGGAACGCTCCCGACTGCCGTTCATTGAACGCCAGTTACATGGGAGAAAATTAAATATCTTAATAGATCCAGGGGCGGCGAAAAACTACATCAAGCCCGTAAAGGAGCTACAAAATGTAGTGCCGGTCAAATCCCCTTTCACGGTTAGTTCCATCCACGGTGCTAACAGAGTTGAACAGAAATGTTTAATGAACGTTTTCGGGAAAACAGCGGATTTTTTCCTTTTGGACACTTAAACGCTTTTTGATAGCAAAGCTAGACACAGAGGAAGGCACAATCAACTATGGTTCTGTGGTTGAAGAGCTGCAGCATCATAAGTGTGACGACGTAAATTTCACTAACGTGAATGACATTACGGTACCGGAATCTGTAAAAACCGAGTTTAGAAACATGATCGGAAACAGATCTAAGGCATTTTCAGCCTCTAACGAGGCACTGCCGTTTAACACTTCCGTTGTTGCCACAATTCGCACTAGCGATGATAAGCCGGTATATTCCAAATTATACCCGCACCCCATGGGTGTATCTGAGTTTGTTAAGCGAGAAATCGCAGACTTACTGCAGAAAGGCATTATTAGATCCTCAAGGTCACCGTACAACGATCCAACATGGATTGTAGACAAAAAAGGCCATGATGAACTGGGGAACAAAAATAAGCGTTTGGTTATAGACTTTAGGAAACTTAACGAAAAAACCATCGCTGATAAGTACCCAATGCCAAACATCCCCATGATACTGGCAAACTTAGGAAAAGCCAAATACTTCACAACGTTAGATTTGAAATCCGGCTACCACCAGATATAATATACTTGGCCGAACACGACCGTGAAAATACCTCCTTTTCGGTGAACGGCGGAAAGTGTGAATTTTGTCGATTACCGTTCGGGTTGAAGAATGCGGAAAGCATCTTCCAAAGAGCGATCGACGACGTCTTACGGGAGCAGATTGGCAAATCGTGCTATGTAACGTAAATACGTCATTCTTTTTTCTGAAAATGAAAACGACCATGTTAGGCACATAGATTGGGTTTTAAAAAGCCTGTGTGATGCCAACTTTGCGGCGATCGCGAGGCCTTTGACAGGCTTGATGAAAGGAAAAAACGGCTCTGTCAGCAAGCACATGTCCAAGAAGACTCCTATCGGGTTCGGTGATTTGCAGAGAGATGCATTCGAGAGGCTGAGAAATGTCTTGGCTTCTGAGGATGTAATTCCCAGATAACCTGATTTCAGGAATCCATTCGATTTAACGACGGATTCTTCCGCGAACGGTATCGGTGGGGTTATATCACAAGATAAAAGATCACTATGATCTCTAGGACCCTCAAAGAGAGTGAGTCACACTACGCCACAAATGAAAGAGAATTGTTGGCCATAGTGTGGGCCTTAGGCAAGTTACAACACTACCTATACGGCACTCGCGATATTAAAATGTATACGGACCATCAACCGTTGACATTCGCGGTGTCCGATCGGAATCCAAATCCGAAAATTAAAAGGATGTATAT